ATGAAAAGTATCAAAAATACTTAAAGAAGCACAAAATAGAAGCCAAAGTGCTTACAGTGAAGCCTCATTGTACTCGATAAGGCTGATGTTCCTTGGCGCCACGGCTATAATGAAGTTCTTTCGCTCTTCGCGGGCAAATATTATCGGACGGAGACCCGCTTCACGTGCTGCCATATAGTCATGCTGATAGAGCACCACATAATGATTATCTTCGTCCTTCACCGTCTCCAGGCATTCCGTACGATTCTCCCGTGAAACACAGTGCAGTGGAGACGACCGATTGGCTTCCCTGGCGGCCTTCACCACAGCCAAACACTTGTCGTAGCTGATCGAATCGAAGGTGCACAGGGTATACTGTGCTGCTCTGCGAGCCCCTGAGGATAGATGTGCCTCAAGCAAGATCCCACCGACCAGACAGAGGGCAATCAGTGGAGATATCATTCTGTTACTAACTGCAATACCAGCGATGCCTTCCGGCTTTATAGAACATTTCGTTAATGTCTATTTAATGGGCAGAGCGACCGAGCGAGGCATTATCAGCTTATACAACCCCAAAGAGCCCCATTCATTCGCTCGCTAATCTCGGGACGGACACCTCATAAATCATCGATCGCTCTCGGGTCCGCAAATAAATCATCAAATCTAAAACGTCAACTTGTCAGTGCCATTCATTGCTATATCAATTCGCCAGGCAAAATCACAGCACACCAGAGACCCGAGAGACCCGAGACCCGGCTGTCCGTCTGTGTTGTATATAGGGGCCCACAAATATAAGCTTCATGCAATCTCAGTTCCCGATTTCTGAATATTATTTATGGACGATTGCCCCGACGACCGTAGCAAAGGAAAAACACCAAACAGTCTAGAAGTCTACGAGGTCTTAGATAGACTACGTGTCGCACCTCATGCAGCAGCGCACCTCTGTCAGGGATTACACATCAACGTCCAAAGAACTTGAAGATCATCTTCCACTAGAGATAGGTCTGTAAGCAATGTTGAAGAAAAGTTCCCCTCATTTTCCATTTCTTTCTATTTTGATCATAAATTTGTGGGCGAAGAGCTTCGCGGCGTTTAATCGTTAACATCTATGGACAATAAAATCGGTTTTTATGACTATATAGCAATAACCATACGACAAGTTGTCAGCGTTAAGGTGCCACATAAATATGAGGCCGCTCTAAACCATAAATAAAGAAAGAATAAGGAACAAATCTAAGAAAATATGAAGTGATATAGAAATACTGGTATAGTATGTGATAGACAGTAGAGGTTACCACTGGAATATTGGATACTCAATAGTTATTTTTAATTATTCAATATTTTCTAGAATTTTAGAAATATATGAACTGAAAGAGGACTTCATTACGACACCTTTCGAATAGAATCTTAATAAAGTTCTCTAAGAAAGTCTCTCTAAGAATTCCTTATAAAAGTACTCTGAATTTTCATGATTATTGTTACTCAAGATCCCTAAAGCTGTCCAAGACTTTTCTGTTGCATTTTTTGCTGTGAAATAGTAAGAAATATGTATTCATATACATTATATTTGATAAGAACTTCGCCTATGACCCAATTTCTGTGAATGATAAGAGCTCAAAGAACAAATCTTTCGAGCTATCATATCCACTCCAAGTATAACACAATCTTGGTCTTGTTAGATCTTTCATTTGTACAACATATTGAGATATTTTCTGTAACCAAACAACTCTTTGAACAACGACTACGAGGTATCTACCATAATATTGGAAAATCTTTCTACAAAAATCACAACCGATGATTAGACTTAATTTTGATGAGGCCATAAAACATCCAAGATTAAAGGGGGACTAGTCCCAAAAGTCTCGTCTAGCTATCATAAAAGTATTTGCAAATAATATAAATTCAGTCATATAACAAAAACTTCCCATACTCGTGCTTATATTTGATATTTACAACATTTCAAAAGTGTGATTATTGCCTGGCATTAAATGATCGTGAGTCAACGAACCGACCATATGACTTGGCTTAAATAATACCCATAAATCGAAGTAATAAACATCTTTTATGGCGCAAAAAAAATCGGTTAAAAAAAGTGCAAAAAATGTACTTTACTTGGGCTCGTCCGGGATTTGAACCCGGGACCTCCCGCACCCTAAGCGGAAATCATACCCCTAGACCAACGAGCCGATTGGCAAGTGGTCGGCCATCGTGAAACTTCAGTGCGGACTCCCCAGAGAGATCTCTCAAGACCCAACGAAATCTTTCGAGTTGTTCGAGAGTTCCCCCTCTCTTTGGCCACCTCTCTCGTGGTCTATTTTGGACAACAACAAAAAAGTTGATTCAGTTTTGGTTTCGGCTGGCTTTTGCTTTTACTTTTTGTTCGTGGCTTCTGAATGGGGGACTGGGGGGACCCGACGACGTGCCAGTGTTGACATCGAAAACAAATTGTTTAACATGGAAAAAAAGCACACAGCAAAACAAAGAAATATGATGCCTGTAAATAAATTCAATTTGGAACAACAGCCACATGCAAGAGTTGGACAAAAGCAGATCTTTCAACGGAATCGGTAGAGGAGGGAATCAAAAAATTATTAATAATCATCAAAATGTAGATGTCAACAAGAGGGGCGACAAAAAACAAACCAAAACTTTTGATTTAGCAAGAATTTGTAATGCCCTTAAACAGGTAATAGAAAATATTACAAAGAAAAAGAGTTTATACGGAAAAACCAGTACGAGGCTCACTGGAATAGAGCTGGCAGTAAAGAGAGAGCAAAATAGAGGGAGAAAGAGGGACAGGGAGTGCTTGCCAGGCAGGAAAACGAACTCTTTAATGCTAAGCGACGCTGTGAGAGGGAAGGAAATATAGTGAGCGAGGCAGGGTTGTCAGCTTTCTTCATTTTGTCTGTGAGAGGGAAAGAAATATAGTGAGCGAGGCAGGGTTGTCAGCTTTCTTCATTCTGTCTTCATTATGGTCTTTAATTAAACTCTAGCCATAGTTTGTTCTCCCTGTTAGAGATACTGTATATCTATAACCCACAGTAGATCGAATCCACTAAAAAATGACCCCAACACTCAACACAAATCCCACAAAACGACTTCACATCTCTTCCCTTCGCACTTTGCGGGTGGGGGGCTATCGAGCACTTTATTTGCCATAGAGCGAGCACTGATTGTTGATTGCTGATGGCTGGGCTGATTGCTTTGATAAATCGACCCGCAAACAATATATTCCCATACCCACATGGGGGATATTGGGGCCAAGCGATTTCTGTGTTCACATCGAATCAAAATCAAATCAAGAGACAGAAGAAATAAAAACCAGAAATTGGAAAAAATCAAATTGAAAATTGAAACAATTGAAAATAGCATTGTGTGCGTGTGTGTGTGTGTCGTTGGGGCGAGTGACAGCTGAATGCGATAATTTCAAATCAAATCAATTGAATATTGTCACAATTAATTTATTTATGAGATACACTCGAATATGCTGTTGAATTGTTGCTCATTTTGGTACTGATTTTTGAAGCATATTGTCTCTCTGAAAAATGTTTGTCATTTGTGTGCTTTGTAAGCAATTTTTATTGTAATAAATTTATTGTATTTTCTGTTGTTGTTGCTTTGTTTTGCGTGTGCTGCTCATTGAATGCCAATTGATTCTGACGATGTACTTTGTATGTAGGAATGGGTGGGTTTTTTATTGATTTTTAATTTCCAGCTTGGGTGTTTTATGACTGTCGCCAGAGACGCCAGGTTTTATTAAGGTTTGCCCAATCAATGCTGCCCCCCCGGCCACTGCCACTGCCACTGCAACAACAACAACACTCTGATGGACTCATGAAATTCAAATTCGATTTCGTTTTAGGCCGAATTCGAAATGCTGCATACAAAAGTTTTACATTGGAAATGCAAACGGAAATCAAATCAAATTGTTTGTGACTGGAAAATTTGAATTTGAGATGTGGTTTTGGTTTTGGTTTCGAGGAAAATTCAAGTTTCCTTGAGATGGGAAATAATCTTTATTTTATAAACGATTTTCGGGGAGAACCCAAAGGTTTTCCCTCAATCAAAATTAACATATTTATTCAGGGAGCTGCAATTTTAATGAAAAATCAAATAAATCGCTCCCTCTCTATCTTTTTCTTTGCGAAAAGGGGTCTCCCACTCGTTTTGAGGTTATTTTCCTTTGAAAATTTTCGGTTTACAGATTTGTTTATGGGTTTTCACCTTCACTTATCTAGGCATCTCCCAGATATGCTAGATAATTCCTTGAATTCTACATCATTCCATCTTTTGCCATAGTTTTTGCATTCAGAATTATTATTTCACGGAGACTCTTTTTCCAAGTTGTTCCTTAAGTTCTTCTGCTTTGACACCCTCTGAAATAAGAATCTCCTCTCCATTCCAAACCGATTTCGCATGCCTTCTTAAAGGTTTCGTGGGGAATTAGAGACCCCCGCGATAAGGTTTCGCAGAATGTGCCAGTGTCATCAGCCTTATGTAAATAAACCATGGGGCAAAATCAAGCCGCATTATCAGCATTATTTTTATGGCCCTCGAATGAGTAAGCCAATCCCCAACCCCAAACAATAATCGTGCTCGTATTGCCAACAGATAAGACCATAAAAGAACAATTCTTTAGCCAAGTAAAAGATGTTTTGTGGTTTATATTTTTCAAAAGATTTTGGTTTTTCTTTCATGTATATTTTTCAGTTTTTTCATATGAATGTGTTGGATTTCTTGATCTTGTATCTTGTTCTTTCTTTTTGATATTCTGTTGCTTCTGTGAATCTGATTTTTCTGCATACATCAAGGGTAGTATGTAAATTAGCGAATCTAGTGTTTTGTATATCTATAGAATTTACACACACACACACACAGTACATTACATACAATAATTATATGAAATATTCATGTTTTATTTGTTCTTTTTTTTTAAGCATTTTTCTTGAGTTTTTTTTTTTATCTCTTGGGTTTACTATTTATTTTATACGTAGTTTTACATTTAAGTTGACTTAAAGAACATTAATGTTGTAATGATTGGTAATAATAATAGTTAATAAACTTAAAGATTAAAGCAAAACGTAGATTAAAAACAATGTTTCAACATCTCAGAGAACAAATTTTGGAAGTCGCATTGAATATTGTATTTCTTTTTTTCTGCTTTGCTAAGACTTTAAAAAACTTTGGTTGATTCAAAAGAAAAACACAAAATGTGTATCCGAAAACTGATGATATTCCTACTATGTATATCTCTTATGTGGATGTGGGGGGGATTGGATTGGATTGGATTTGTGTGATTACTGTAGACAATAATTATGAATTAATTATCTTGTGAAGTGGCAAATAAGTTGATCTTTCTGTTTGTTCTGCTACGATTTTTGTTGCTGTTAATTATGATCTTCTTCGTCTTCTACTTCGTTGAATGGAAACTTAAGTTTAATTAGCGCTCGACAAACTACAATTTAGTATCACAGAACAGCGCGCGAATGCCGCAGAGAGATGGTGTCCATCGGCATTCCCGGTCATTTCATCATTTCATCATTTTTTCGTTTGAAATTATTTCAAAAACGTTTCCTCTGGGATCTATGGGATATCCTTTTGCTTTTTTTTTTGTTTTTTGGTATGCATTTAAAAACCTTTTCCTTCTCCTTTGCCCTCTTCACTGATGGGCCGCTCCCATCCGCTGGCCGTACATGGCATACGGGGAGTAGTACGGTCCGAGAGCAGCTGCCGCAGCGGCTGCTGCCGGATTGAAGGCTCCGCCGGCGCCAAAGGGCGATGGGGCACCGCCCATGGAACCTGGCGGCGGCTTGGCGTACGGATGATAGCGGGCTGCCGCCGCTGCCGCGGACATGGGGCTGAGCGGGGGCGTGGGATATCCACCTCGCAGCGCCGATGGGGGGAACAGGGTTCCGAGCAGGGACTGCGCCTGCGACTGGGCCAAAGCGGCGGCCGCGGCAGCCGGATCCGAGAGGTTGCCCGTGTGGGTGCGGAGGTGGGTGAAGAGTTCGTCGGAGGTCTGGAAACGCTTGCCGCAATAGGCATCGCCCACCACCCAACTGCAGACGTAGGGGGCGGAGCGTGCAGCCGCCGCATTGGCAGCCGCTGCGGCCGCCGCCTGCGAGTACGGATGGCCTGGAGGCAGGCCGGCGCTGGCCATGGCCATGCCGTACTTCTGGTGCTCGCACTGGGTGCATCCGGCCGGGCAGGGGGCCCCCATCAGCATCTGTTGGGTGTGCGCGGAGTAGGGGCAGCCGGGACAGTAGGGATCCTTGCACACTGGCACGATGGCCTCGCCACCCGCTGGCGTCTTGATGCGCTGGTAGCTGATGTACGGATTCGGCTGTCCGGCGGGATTGCCGCCTCCGGCGCCCGGATAGCCGCCATTTGCAGCCGCCGCCAGCATGGCGGCGTGATGGTGCGAAAAGCCGCCGGCAAAGGGCGGACGGAAAGCAGGATTCGCGTGCTGCTCCATCCCAGGCGGGCAGCAGAGGGCCGACAGATGGTTGAGGCCATAGGGACCGGCTGCCTTGTAGGCCGCCGCTGCGGCGGCCGCTGCTGCTGCCATGCTGCTCATCTCCTTGGGATGCTGTGCGGTGCCGTTGGAGTTGCTCAGGACCTCCATTCCGGAGCGTACGATGGGGCTGGCGCCGCGCTGTGAGGAGCCCGAGGGCGACACTGTCTTCCGGCTGCCATTATCATGGGGTGTGCTGGGTGCCGCCTCCTGTGTCCGGCTATGTCCATCTGTGGGCGTGGCATTCGACTTGCTGCGCGACGGCACACGCTCCTGGGCGGAGGAGGAGTTCTTGGAGCTGGGACGCATCGGTTCCTCCACGGAGGAGCTGCTCTTGAAGGAGTTCTGGTTCTGGTGGCTCAGCACGTTCGTCTCGTACGGCTTGAAGGCCAGCTTGATCTCTCCGGTGGTTGTCAGACTGGTATTGCTGGTGGCCGTGGCCGTAATGGGCGTTGTGGATTTCGGCGATTTTGCCTGGCTGCCGGGCGACTTGGCCGCCGATATATCGCCGTTGCTCGACGAGGTCGAGGATGTGGAGGACGAGGAGCAGGTGCCCGGCTTCGTCTTGTTCTTGTCCATTGCCAGCAGGGGCTTCACCGCCGATGAATCGGCTCCAATCTGTGAGCATGTCTGGGCGAGCAGAGCCAGGGGACTCTTTTTGGCATCCATCTATAAGGAATGGAAGAAAAGGAAGAAGGTTCGGGTTTAGTATATTTGTTTTTTAACACAGGAATTTCCTTCCCTTTTTTCTTGAATTTGAGCTCTATTTGTTGTTGGTTTATTTCTTTAGATTTCTTTTTAAATTATTTTTCACGTCTTTGTATTTCAGAAATTTTTTCATTAGAGATTGAATTTTTCTCTTTTTATTTTCTATAATTTTGGTATCTATAATTTCTTCATGGAAATTGAATTTTTCCGTATTTTTTGGCTTCAAGTTATTTGATTCCAATTTCATATTCGTTTCATCACAATTTAAATTTGTAGCCGGATTGAAATTTTGATTTTTTGCAGGTTTTTTTACGCCTTTTATACATTTTTCAACATATTTTCCTGAAGTTAAAATGTTCAATATAATTTTTATCCAAATTCATCAATCTTTCATCTCAGCTTTTCAAATAATTTTTTCTTCCTCCAAAAATTATTTATTTTTGTGTTTAGAAATTCATGGGTTTTTTTCCTGAAATTTCTTTTGGTTTTCATTAATTTTTGTCAACAGTTTTTATTCTGTTCCACGATTTCTTTATAGAGCTCATTCAAAAGTTGTTTCTCTGACTTTTTTATAAGTCTTTCAGTCTTTCATTTATTTTGTTGTTTGTTTATAAAATACTAACCGTTGTCGGGAGTGGAGCCAAGTAATCCGGTTGAAGGTATTGGTTATTGCCGATGGTAACGACACCACCGCCTCCTTCCAAGACAACCATTTTTGTTGCTTAGTGTAGTTTTGTTATTGAAGAGTGTAATCCACAAGGAAATGTTGACGGTGGCCACAGAAATTTGTAGCTTTTCGTTTTGGTTTTTGTTTTATTTTTTGTCGTCGATGAAGAGTAATCCACAGAAAATGCGACGGCAAAAATGTGTGTGTGTGTGTGTTTGATAATAATCCAAAAATTTCACTTTTCTTGTTTCGGTTCAGTTCAGGGAAATGGTATGCCTGAAATCCGATTTAGATCACTTTGTGGTGTAAATTTCTTTCACTTATTTCTCTGTTGTTGTTCACTTTTTGACACTTGGGACAGCTGTTCTTGAACAGAATATTTCTATGGGTGTGCAAGGGGGGTTGGTTTTCCGCTTTTTTCCGAGCAACGTCTGAACGATTCGAAGGCTGAACTCGAACTGTATTCTCCGTGTGACGGTGCGAACGTACCTAGCCGCAAAGTGAAGAACGGACACGTTCGTGCACGCTCACTCGCTCGCGCGCTCTCTCTCTCTCTACTCGCTCGCTCGCTCTCCACTCTCGCTCTCCCTCTCTCGCTCTGCTCGCTCAAAACTGGTTTGGCCGCTCTCTTCGTGCGCTAGAGCAGTCCAGCCTGCTGTGTGCGAGCGAGTCGCCACGAGCGTAATTTTCAAATATGGCGTATTTTTTGCCCAATCACAATCGCATGCGCCATGCGATGGATGGCCAACGGAACAGGTTTCTCGCTCTCTCTGTCGCATTTGCACCACGGCAACACTCGTTTCGAGAGCAGCAACAGTTGTGGCGAGCGAGCGAGAGCGGCTCTCTGCTCTCAATCGCGATAGTTGTTGTTGCATTGCGCGCACACATTAATTTTATCTTCACACATATGTCACGCGCTCGCTCTCCCGCTCTCGTTTTTTGTGCGACTTTGATGGGGCTGTCAACAGCAGGAGTTATCGGAGTGGGGGGTGCGTGAAGATGGGGATAAGTGGCAGTGTGAGAGGCAGAAGCAGCAATGTGCTTGTGGGAGAGGAAGTATCAGCAGTGGTAGAGAGGCATTGTCTTCCGTCGCTCTGAGATTTGTTCTCTCCTCTCCTCACACTCTACGTCTTTTTTTCCAGACCATTTCCATCGCCTCGGTTCCGCTCGTTTTAATGTCATATAAAAATTAATTTGTTTGTCGCTCGCTCTCTCACACTCTCCTCTGCTCCTTGCTCTGCGCCTCTCTCCAGGCTTTTGTTTAGCGTTTTTCGATTAACTTCTGCGGTGGGTTTTTACTGTACCACCACTCCACCTCCTCCACTTCCTCACAAAACGTTGGGGCTCCTGGTTTTCCGTTTAAGTGGAAATCGTTGTTTTGTTTGTCGCGTCACAAAGTTTTTCTGAGCCATTTTCCACATTCGTTTTTTCCATGTTTTTCTTGATTTACATGTATAATGTTTGTGCGTTTGTGTGTGTGTATGTGGGGGCGTAACATCCCACAAAATTAGTGGCTAACCGGAGTTTTTAATGGTTTAATGGCTTTCCTTTAGTTGGTTAATTTCACTATATTTTTAATCACACAACCATTGGAAATGCACTTTCCAGTCAACACTTTTCTGAAACTATTTTTATTTCACACAAAATATATTATTTAATTGAAAAGAATTGGATTCTGTCATTAAAACCAATGGAAGAAGCTTGTCACTCGAAGAATCGAGGCTTCGCTCTTTAGCGACCGAGGGGCTCTTTTGCATGACGAACAACCGATAGCTTTGATCCTGTGAGCCCCATGATCCCTTGTAGAGTCTCCCAAAATAGTTAAGAATGCATTTAAAAGACATAACAACAAATCCAAGACATTTTCTCCCCTAATCATCTGGATCTCATGATCTATATTAAATGATCTTTGAAATTCCCTAGAAATCCATACAGAATCTATATAATCTAAGGCTAAACCAAGTCCTAAGATACTTTGTGGCAGAATTTTTTTTGGGACTCTTTTGGAGAGATCTCAATCTCTTAGCAATTTGAAAAATATTACCTAATCGTCAGACAGTTGCAAATCCCCCCGTCAAAGCCTCTGGCAAGCAAATTAAAATCTGTGTAAATATAAGCGTTAAGACAGCGAGAACTGAAAGGCGTCCTGGCTTATGCCAGGATTAAGAGTATTTAGACATTTTTGGGCAATGGGGATTTCTGTTTCTCTCCCGCTTCACGTGTCACAGGTAGAGTTCCCTCCTTCAAAAGGGCCTTCAGTAAATGACGGATTTATTAGGTAAGAGCGTGCTGTCGTACTTTACGATCCGGCTTAAACATAATTTGCGGTTTCTGCGTGAACAAAAAAAAAACCAGCTCAAAGTGTTGCCAAAATACAGGAGTACACGAGTACAGGTACAGTCTTTAGTGTTCGAAGGTTAGAGAATTTTCCCCGCTCGAGTGCAAGCGAGTATTTTCCCTTATTATTTGTTATTTTTTATGGCCACTTTGTCAGCGTCATAAATTTGTTGCTCCTCTCCTGTATGTGAATTATTTACTGGCGAGAATGCGAGCGAGGAGCCTTGGCGGCGGGCAGGGGTCGTCGCATAAATAATACAAAAATATTATAAATTACAAGGAAAGCCACAGCGAATGCCAGGGGGCGGCGGAAGTGTGGAACACCTTGATACCGTGACTAAAGCGATTTTCTTTCCTTCTTAATGCTCATGCCCTGGAGCGGTTCTAAGGCGTTTGATATGTTAATTTTGTTATTTAGTGGCTAATCTTTTCAGGTAGAATTTATAGAAGATTACAGAAAGTTTGAAAGATTTTTTGATATATTTTAAATTAGGGATTTCTTGCACGTTTCAAGGATCTGTTGGGCACATTAAAAATATCGCTTAAATTTCATATTTTCTTATGAAAATCTTAGGATAATTTAGAAGGATTTTCATATCTTTTTCATATCCTTTTCAGGGAACATTTGATCAACTCAGTCCGAAGATGGTATCATAATAGATCTTTTCATTATGATCAATGCTGAAATGTCTATAGATACATATAGTACAGATTATCCAGAACAAGGAAAAAAGATATAATCTATGGTATGTGTATGTATAATTTAATTAAAAAATCAATGAAAAATACCTGCCATTCCCATACCACTTTTTATCGAAGATTTCACCTAAAAAAGTGTTCCTAATTGTATCTTGTAATCTTAAAAAAAAATGTATCTTTCAACGAATATACCCCAGATACTCGTGTATGCCCAGGAAGGCGGCAGGAAGGAAACAACATAAAACAAGAGACAGTAAGAGAAATTTGTAGCCGCGAAAACATTTATATGAGGAATATAAAAAGGAGGAAAAACTGATGCGGCAGCACCAAATGGCGAAGGCATGGGGGGGCATGGGGCATGGGGCATGGCGGGGGTAGCACATAAAATTAACCACATATTTCTTCATTTTTATGGCATTTATTATCACAGAAATGTTTGTGTGATAAAAGCGAAGCGGCGCAAAAGGCGAACGACGATGAACGACGACTCCAACGACGACGATGGCGGCGCAGTCATAAAAATGCAGCCATTTACCTTTTGATTTATGCACCACAACAACAACAGCAGCAGCAGCAGTGGCTGTGGCAGTGGCAGTGGCAGAAGCGGCAGCCGTAGAAGTGGGCTATTGAGGTGGTTGGGCGGTGGCTGGGGGGCGGGGGGGGGACTGCGGCACACGCATGAAACAACGCACTCCACAAATGAGGGAAGGAGAGCGTAAGGAAAAGGAGCGAAAAATAATGCAATAAATTTGACATTATCTCCGGCAATATGAACGTATATATATATCCGTAAAGTGGGTGCTGTGTGGCACTGGCACTGGCAGTGGAAAAGGGAAAGTCGTTTAACTGTCTGCGGATTTTCAGTTGACTTACGCATGGGGCAAAGGCAAAGGCAAAGTCTCCTGCCACTCCCCCCACGATAATTGCTTTATTTTGGCGTCTGAAGAACCTTTTCCTGCCACTCGATGGCTATCTGAGCGGAAATTTGTTACTTCAGGGTGGAATATTTGGTTTTTCTCAAGATTGTGGTACATCTTTACCAAGGGAAGATTTTAAATTACACAGAATGTTGGGAATTTATGAATAATTTATGATGTTTTAACATTTTAATGTTTCAATTTAGTATACAAAAAAGAAACGTAAGCTTTTTCTAGAAAATTCTTTGAGACATCTATTAAATAAAGCCCAATGAAGTTGATTCGATGTTGTACAAATTTCCCATAAGCAAACGGACACAAACAGAGACCATTAATTATGTTGGGATTCGGGATTTTTATATATTATTAAATATATTTTATAGATATCTTTGCATAATATATAATAATAACAAAATCGTTGCTACTCCCTAATAATATTTAGAAGAAATTATTCGCTAATTTTGGGACCACTTTTAGCACACTTTTCGACCTCTTTTAGTCCAGTACACCCCTAGAATAATATAAAGCTCAAAATTCCCCTCAAAAATACCAACAACAAATTATTTATAAAATCCCGTACAACTCCACAAATCGAATCGTTTATGTACCATCATAATTACTTCCGATTTGAATGTGTCTACGTGCCGTGCAGCCAAACAATAACTCACTTCCGAAGGTTCGGCACTCCCCACAACCCGTGAATGCCATTTAAAAAATTGAAAAACAAACTGCAATAAATTCAATATAGAAAGAACCCTATGAAACCCAAAAACTAAGCAGACACCCGAGCAAACAGATCCCAAAAAAAGAAGAAAAAAACACGCACACAACAGGCCAAAAAGGGGATGCAGCAGGGGATGCCCTGCTGTGACTGTGTTCCGGGTTCCAGGAGCTCCCCCCCCTCCGCCTGCCGCCTGTCGATAATTTATTGACAACAATTTATCTCGTAATAGTTGCCCAAACGTAAAAAAAACAGCAAAAAAAAGAAAGAAAAAAGAATAATGGTGACATTGAAATTTTACGGTAATGCATCCCAAAAAAAAGGGATCTTTGCCATTTTTTGCGGGCCACCCTCTGTTCGTGTGTGTGTGGCGGATTAATAAAGCAAATTAATCGTTGTCCCCCCCAACCTCTAAAAATGGGGGAAATACCTACAACGCTGACACGTGGAGGATTTTCTAAAATGATAAATTGATGGCATCAATTTTTATTGCCATTTCTGGCATTAAGTATTAATTGCCTACAATATCTGGTATCTATGGTCTGTCCAGGGGGCGGCTTTCGAATGATATATGTCCGGCGGCTATAGGATCTAAAGGGTGTAAACGGTATACGAATTAGGCGAAATGTTTCCTTAAGCGATGAAACATGTGGGAAGGATTTACAGGGAATAAGGAACACAGAATATATGGAATAAAGGTACAAGCTTAGTCTTTCTCTCTCTTACAGAGTAGCTTAGCTTTAAAAGCCTATTTTTT